CACTTGAGCTACAGCACCACTTCTGGTTTTCTGGTGGCTTATTGGAGATAGGAGTCTCACGGTCTCTCCTGCCCGGGCTGGCTTTGAACCTCGATCTTCAGATCTCAGCCTCCTGAGTAGCTAGGATTACAGGTGTGAGCCACCAGCGCCTGGCTCATTTGTTATTTTTTTTTTTTAATAAAAAAATTTATGTCTGGTTGGATGGAGCGTTAGGATCGTTTTGGGGGTAGTAGTGGTTAATCTCAGTTTGTCTATACTTTTGTCCTTTATACTTATTTTCTGGTACTGGAGTTTGAACTCAGGACTTGATGTTTGCTGGGAAGCCTGTCCCCCATTTGAGTTATGCCCCAGCCTTTTTTCTTTGTATGTTTTTCAGATAGGGTCTTACACTTCTGCCTGGGGCCAGCCAACCTGGGCTATGATCCTTCCTCCTTCTAATTCCAGAATAGCTGGAATCATGAGTGTATGCTATCACGCCTACCTTCTATTGTTTTTTTCTTTTTGTCTCTCTCTACTGGAGTATAAATTCTATGAAGTCAAAAGACTGTTTTGCTGACTGTTATATCTTTTAGATTTAAAGTAGTCAACTTCTGCCAGTGGGTTTAGCATGCATGCAAAGAATATGCTTCAAAAATATGGAATGCTTCATGAATTTGTGTTATACATGCATAGAGGCTGGGTTAGTCTTCTTTGTATTATTGCTGCCAAAGCAAGTAACATGCATTGAATTAATAAATTGATATGTTCAATTGAAACCCCTTTGTACAACTACTTATTGATAATAAAAATAAAGACTATGCTTCATAAATATTTGTAGAATCAGTTAACTGTGTTAAAATAATTATGAGGACATTTAGGAATTGTTGAGTCAGCTCCTCAGGAGAGAACATTTTAATTGATCTTATGTTAACTAATTTGATGTTTTTTTAGTCTGACTAAGGACATGACTGGAAAGGAAGATGTGTACCGAGGCCCAGCCATCAGGGCTCTCTGTCGTATTACTGATGTAAGTTCTTCTTGTTTTACTGAGTCATCAAAGGGAACTCCTTTATTTCAGTCAGTGTGTAGATTTAGTAGGATTCCCTAGTCTGACTTTGTGAATCTTAAGTGTTAAGAAACATGTTTACCAAAAAGATTTTTGTGCCTCTGGGCTTTTTTCCCCTTTCACTTCATCTTTTTTCCTTTTGCTTATATTCATTTATTACTTCCTCTATATGTTTGCCCACATAAACTTTCATAATTTAGGGTGCCTTATGTACAGGAAACAAAAATACATTCGAATTTAGCTCAAAAGAGAAACTTTATTATAGGACACAACACTCTCAGAGTTTGAGGTAAACCTTATTAATAGTTACTAGCAAGAAATAGGGCAGCTCTGTGATACTCAGCAGCAGGATCTCTCAGATAGTTACCATGAAGATCCATCATATGCCAGACTCATGTCTCCTGTTCACAGGCTCCTTGGATTCTGCCTAACCATCAGTAAGCCAGTGACTTGTAGCCACCTTAGTCCAAGTCTCTTGTATCTGGAGGAATGTGGTTTTATAGTATACTAGGCTGTCTCTTTCTCAGAGGTCTGAGTAGGAAAAGTTAGATGAAGTTGGGTCAGCATTGATGAGAAAATTGGATAGTACATTTGGGTGTTATGTGTATGTTTGTATCCTTCACAAAATTTAAATTTTGGGCCAGATTAAATTGTAAATTTGTAAAATCTGAAAGCAGATTTTACAAATGGTTTAATAATTTTTGTTATCCTATTGTTTTATGGTGGTTGTTTTTACTTTTCTCATTAAATTGGTGATTTAAGACTTAGCTACACCAGTGCTAGAAATAAGATTCATTCTATCTGTATATTGATCTGAGTCTGGTCACTTCCACTTTCCCAGTGATAGTCTTTTTATCCCCAGTTAGGTTAAAAAGAACTATATTTCCAGAGGATAATAACAGCTTGCTGTAGTAAGATACTGCATATTTAATATCTTATGTGTTGGAGATAATCAGAGATTGATGACATATAATATATAGGCTTGAGATCCACATGTAATATGTGCCCTTCATGTAGCTGTATATATCTTTAGGATTTCAACACAACTTCATTTCTATGTGTGAATTTCTTTGTATCCCTTATGGATAGTTTTGGCTTTTTCTTGTATATCCTTCTAATTAAGATATTGTCTATTTTAAGGCAATTTGTTTCATTCATGAGCAGTTCTGTTTACTAACATAGAATCTTAAGTATTTTTTCTTAAAGCTTGTTCGAGGTTGTTGGGGTTCTGCTTTCTAGAATATTATTACTGTATTACATAATAATCCCTAAAAGCATTAAAAATATTTGAAACAAGTATATGACAAATTTTTGTTAATTATTTTGAAGTAGCAATTTTTCATGACAGTGGTTTTCTTCAACAGCTTTTTTTTTTTTGGAATGTTTTTAGGGAACAATGTTACAAGCCATTGAAAGATACATGAAGCAGGCCATTGTGGATAAAGTCTCCAGTGTATCCAGTTCAGCACTGGTATCTTCCTTAGTAAGTGAGCAGGCAGCTTCCTGATGCAATTTCTAATCCCAAAACAAAGTATCTATGGTTCTATCATGAGAGAAATTCTAAAAAATATGTATTACTGTATTCAACTGTGTTTTATTTATATGAGCCTTGAACAGTTAAAATAAGCAATAAAAATATGGAAATTTCCTGTTTAGAAGGTTTGGGGAACTAGAAAAATTGTACATATGATAAATGGAGGCAGGTAAAAATGAGAAAAGGATGGGAAATATGTGAGGTTATTGTGTTTTCACAACTTTTCCTATGACCTTCTACCTCTTCTTTGTTGTGACCTTTCCCTGGTTCCCTGTGTCTGTATATGTCCTTTAATCTAAAGTCTCCTGTTGCACTTCTGTATTTCTGTAATAACTTTCCTTTCCCTCTTTCTTATTTATTTTATTTATTTTTGGTTTTCTCCCCTTTTCATCAAAACATTTTTTCCACTAAAAACTTAGCACTGAATTTGATTGTTATTAGTTAAAAATATGTGAATATATAACAGGGTTTCTGTGGCTTATGCCTGTAATCTCTTATACTCAGGAAGCTGAGATCTGAGGATCATGATTCAAAGCCAGCCTGGGCACAAAAGTCTGTGAGACTTTTAACTGTATTTATTAGTCAAAAGTGGAAAGTGAAACTGGCTCAAGTGGTAGAGCACTAGCATTGAGCAAAAAAAGCTCAGGCAGGGACAGCGCCCAAGCTCTGAGTTCAAACTTCCAAGACCAGCACCCATACACATATGCATGCATATATACTTTTACACACACACACATACACACACACACACACACACACACACACACACACACAATATGTGACTGTATTAGAGCATCTGAATCTCAAAGTTCCCAATTCTGAAATGCTGTTGATTTGATTCTCAAAGTTCCCAATTCTGAAATGCTGTTGATTTGATTTTACTGCAGGAAGTGTATTCAACAGCGTCTTTCTTCCTGGGTAGTTTTCTGTCAAGTATAACTCAACATAATTGAAACATTGTGCTGTTTGGAGCTTCCTGTTCTTCCCTTTCTCATTATTTCCTTTTATACCACACTTCATTACTTCCTTTTACAGCATTCATTTCTCCAGGAATAGACACTTAAATTAGACTTATGAATCTATAATTTTTTTTATCTTAGAAAATGTGTCAGTAATTTTGCAAGAATATTGACTCATGTAAGTAAACTTCTGTTTGTGATCTATTCTCATGTTTTTCTGGGTTTAGCATATGATGAAGATAAGCTATGATGTGGTTAAACGTTGGATAAATGAAGCCCAAGAAGCTGCATCAAGTGACAATATTATGGTCCAGGTACTGTCATTGAATGTCTCAGGGTCACCTTTCTTTAAGGGCAGTGTACTATCTAGAATATTAATGTATAATACTGGGCAATTCCCCAGCATTCAAGGCCAATTATTTGGCATATTAAACGACTTGTTAGTGCATATTTGAAAAGGTTTCTCACTAATTATGATTACTTTAAAGGGCCTTCATGTGTTCAATAGAAGCTAGATGACCTCCTTTAGGAATGCTTGAGAACGATTTTATGTTGAATAGTAGACAAAAGCTTACTCCAAAGTTACTTTACAGTGCATTGCAGTCTTTGATTTTGAAGAGCAATTTATATATATAAAAAGATGTTCAATTCAAAATTTCTCCAGCCTTGACTATAGATATTGTAAAACTCTTCCAATTCTTTACATTTGTAAAGAACTAATTTTATGAAACTTTTAAATCATTTCATCCAAATATCTGCTTATAATATTTATTAGGCTGTTTTTTACTGTAAGGGAAACTTTTTTTTTTAAGGTATTGGGTTTGAACTCAGTGCCTGTGCTTACTAAGAAGGTCCTTTTACTACAGCATATTCTCAGATCCTTCTTTTGAAACAAGGTCTCGCTATAGACCCCAAACTTGGTGTCGAACTTGGTCTGTATCATAGACTGGCCTAGAATGTAGGAACCTCCTCCCTTTTAGTGTAGGGAGGAGATTCCTAAGTTCTAGCCTTTGTAGTGTAGCCATTACCGGTGTATACCACTATGCCTGGTGCAGGTTAATTTTTCTTTATTTTTTTATTTTTTATTTTTTTTTGGGGGGTCCGGTCATGGGGCCTGAACTCTAGGCCTGGGTTCTGTCCCTCAGTTCTTCAGCTCAAGGCTAGCGCTCTACCATTTGAGCCACAGTGCCACTTCCAGCTTTTTTCTTTTTGCTTATGTGGTGCTGAGGAATCGAACCCAGGGCCTCATGCATGCAAGGCAAGCGCTCTACCACTGAGCCATCTTCCCAGTCCCTTCTTTATTTGTTTTAGAAGTACTATGTCTTGAACTCTACCTCACTGTAGGGCAGCACCTGTAAGGCTGGTGCCCTACCATTTGAGTCATCCCCTTTTTGCCTTGGTTATTTTTGAGGTACCATCTTACTTTTTGTCCAGGCTAGTTGAGGCTGCAGAACTCCTGTTTGTACTTTCCCATGTCACTGAAGATGACAGATGTGATACTGTGCTCAGGCCTCATGTTTCCCCTGTACCTGGGATAATAGATCACTTTGCCTAGTCACTTAGTAAGATAGAGTCTTGTAAACTTTTCTGCCTTGGCTAGCCTCAAGATGTGATCTGATCTTCACCTTCAAGTATCTGGGAATACAGGCTTGAGCCACCTTACCTTGCTCAGGCTATAGTAACTGGCAGTTGTATCTAAAATATGTATTTGAGAAGGTACTCAGGCCTTTTCAATGTTTACAGTTTCTTCTGTTAGCACATTTAATTATGTGGAAACTCGGTATATTTCCCTAGGGAGATCTCACTTTCCTAACTCTAAACTTGTGTTTTTATATAAAGCATCATGACAGTGATACTTCTTTAGCCTATTTTAGGTGATTAATCCTTTGCTAAAGTGGCCATAGATGATCTATAGCTAATAAAGAGATTTGTAGCTAGGTGTCATGGCATATACTTGTAGTCCCAGCATTGTAGCAGAAGGATCACTTTAGCCCATGATCTTGAGACCAGTCTGGGCAACATAGCAATAGCCTGTTTGAAAATAAATAAATACAAAACAGTCAGTTAGTCTGTAACACTGATAAAGCCTTGGGCCTGAGAATATGTAGGTCAATGTTGAATCTTCAGAGCCATTTTTTTGGTTGTATGTTACTTACTTTGTACTAGTTCAGTCTCAATTTACAACTTCGGGGGTGAATTAGAAATCTTATTCTTGTCTGAGTTGAGTTCAATATGAAAAAGATGCTGTTTGTGTATATTTGACTTGGATATAATTTTATTAGAAATCTTTTATCCAATTCCATGTAATTCTATTTTCATATAATTGTTTGTCTTCTTTCTAATCTGTATACAATACTTTTTTTCCTTGTTCTTTAGTACCATGCATTGGGAGTACTTTATCACCTTAGGAAGAATGATCGTCTTGCTGTTTCCAAGATGTTAAATAAGTTTACCAAATCTGGTCTCAAATCACAGTTTGCTTACTGCATGCTGATCCGAATTGCTAGTCGCTTACTAAAAGAAACTGAGGATGGGTAAGTGTTCCAAACCTAATTTATTTTCCATTTGCAAGTTTGTATCTTTTAGGGTTTATTTCCTTTATGAATATCTTTGGGCAGTACTGACATTACAGGTAAATTTGGTGGGTTTTTTTTGTTTGTTTTGTTTTTGGTTCCGGTCGTGGGGCCTGAACTCTGAGCCTGGGCGCTGTCCCTCAGCTCTTCATCTCAAGGCTAGCACTCTACCACTTGAGCCACAGCACCACTTCGGCTTTTTTCTTTTTGCTTATGTGGTGCTGAGGAATCGAACCCAGAGCCTCAGGCATGCAAGGCAAGTGCTCTACCACTGAGCCACCTTCCCAGCCCCACTAAATTTGGTGTTTTTAAAATTAAAAACAACTA